AAGAAGGATGTCCCTGAGTCATTTGTAGCTAAATGGATGGACCTTGAGACCATACTTTAAGTGAAATAAATCAGATACACATATTTAAATACCTCATTGTTTCTCTGACAAGAGAAACCAAAAGTAGAAATAAGGACAAAAATGTACAACAGGTATTGGGAAACAGGAAGAAAATGTCCAAATGTGAAGGGGAACTGATACTCATTGATAAGGGACCCTCATCAATGACTGAATTTGTTATTTTACTTCCATTCTGCTGCCTCTCTGTGTGTCACTTGCCAATTCCTTCCAGAACAGAACAAGGGAGGAGGGAGGGAGAATGGAAGAAAGGGACAAGAAAAAATAGAAGGAAAAAAATGGAAACAAAGCTTTGGTTTTGGAAAACAGGGAGGGGAGGGGGCTTGAGGGAGGGGAAAAAAAGAGGCAGGATATATCATGTACAGGTGCAAATTCCCTACAATGAGTGTTATCATTACATACGCCTAAAATGTACCAATAACTGTTTTGCTATTAAAAAAACAAAACTAGGGGAGAAAAGTGACATCATTAGCAATGCCCTATATGTCCCGTACCTCCTCTTTCCAGAAGTTGATTATAGACTTGAGATAAATCTGTTCATTCTTTCTCCAACTTGATACAACTTTAAATAAATCAAATCCAAAAACCCAGGGTTTCCCATTCCTTCTCCTTGGTTTCCCTAATTCTTAGAACCAGTTCCCTATCATAGCCAGCCTCTCACCATATCACCACTTAAAAATAAAAGGAAGTGAGAAGCTAGTATAAGGCGTCCCCACCGAGGGAGAGAAAGCCTAATAAGTAAATGAGCATTCATAGGTCTTCCCAAGTTCTTCAACCAAAACACAAGAGCTCATTTTGTCTTACATTGCCACATCAGAATTTTCCAAAGAACTATCTTTTCTCAAATGTACTATGAAAACAGAGGGCAGTTTGATCACAACTAAACTCGCAATCCAGAAGAGAACACAGCTATCACAAGCATAACTTAGTCCTTCCTTCTATGACTACTGTTCCATTTTTGAAATACGCCAAACAGAACATAAAATATTTTCTCTTCAAATTCTTGTTCCTTAAATTTTGTATATAACATACATGAATTTCATGCAAAACCTCAAAAAATGGCAATCTTCAGCATGAATGGGTTAATATTCACCTAGAGTCCCAGGAAAAAGCAGCTCCCATTTGGGGACAGGACATGACAGCAAGGAAGTTTTCTCAGGACCATGTGACTAGAAAGGAGAGCATCACCCAGACCAGAGCCAGATCAGTACCAGGGATCAGTCACAAGTAACAATAATCTACTCAACTTCTTGGAAAAGGAGGCATTTTAAAATTATGTTATCTTTCCGTAAGTCTTCAAATGCAGTATTATTTAACTACGAGCAAGTAAAAGAAGATTAAATGCATTGATGACACGCACTTGCTCCTGCAATCATTACTAGTGTCAGGATGGAAAACTAAGTTATTTTCCCAAATTATACGAGACTGAGTAAGCTGAACAGCTGTACTCTTTCCTTAGCTTGTGAAGTACCAGCCATTTCACCCACCATCATAAGAGGAAAATAATAATAATACCTGCTCTCCCTGTTTGTCAGATCTGTCTATGAAAAGAAAATGACAAAAGCACTACTGCCCAAAAAGTGAAAGCTCATCAGAATTTCCAGTGGAAAGAATGAGGTAGATCTATTTATAGCTTTTGAGTAAATTTACCGCTAACACCAAACAATCTGTTAATAAGAGGATAAAGAAAAAACAGCAGTTATGTGCCAGGGAGTTGAAAGAAGAAGATGAATCAAAAAGGTAGGCTCAAGGATGCCGGTACCCCTCAGCAAAAAGCAAAGAAGAGGGGAGGGGAAAATATGACACCGTTGTATACATATGTATAACTCAGTAAGACAAAGAGGCCAGAGGAATACTGAGTTTAAGATGCGCCCTCATACAAATAAATTCTGTTTAATCTATATTATATATTCATTTTTATTCCCAAACACTATCACCCATAACCCCCATGGATTCTCTTTTCTCTGAACCACTCTTTAACTAGTTGCAATTCTGAATAAATTTTTGTATCTGAAGTATCAAATACATCTAAAGAGGGGAAAGTAAGACTTAAAACATTCCCAGTAAGGGACAATAATTTTATTTTTAACATAATCAATCGGCCATAGTAAACTAAAGACCAAATACAGAATTTTTAAGATCCTCTAAAAAAGACATCTATGTGATAATAAATCAGGTGTTCTCCCATTTTGTAAATTTCACTGCTACAGACATTCTTCTAGGACATGTTGGCTTTTAACTGTTTCCCTAAGAGTAAGCAACACCTATACAATGATGTATGGTCTACAGCTAATCAATACACAACTGTGAACTGGCTAGGATTAGGCAGGCAATTTGCACTCAAGCAGACCCAAATGAAACTATCAGCCTGTCTGAAAAGCAAATCCATCACTCTGACTCATTAGTACTGCCCTCCAGCTGTTAAAGATTTAAACATTAGCTTGGGTTTTGCAAACAGGGAAAGGGGGAAAGTAAAACACTAACAACGGGGAGAAACTTTATACAGTCAGTCTACACAAAAATTTTTGTTAATGGAAACCAGCTGCAAGGATAAGAGATGCCATTTCAGTATCTGGGCCTGGTAAACTACTAATGGGTTTTTCCTACTCAAAGTTTCCACTCTGGAAGGAAGCCCCGTTCCTTCAGAGTTCCTGGCACTTCTCAGAATTACCTTTTGAAATAACTGCTCTAGAGTTCAAATTTTCTATCCATTAGTTGTGTGCAGTGGCTCTTTGAAGAGTGTGAAGAGTGTCTCTAAACTATTCCTTATATGAGAAGTCAAGCACCCCACACCCCCTCCTCAAGGAAAAAATAAGGTCCTAACTCTTACACATATAATCCGTAAAACACACACAGCTTTAATTCAAAGTTGTGAAATCTAAACTTCAGACTCAAATAATCAAAGATAATGCCATTTATAAAATACTGTGATAAAAAAAACTACTGCTCATTTTCACCATAATTCTATTTGAATGCCACAATTAATTCTACTATTTATCTTTCTCCCATAGAGTTCATAAATCAATTTAAAAGTTGTTCACATGTAACCACTTTAATATTTAATATATTCCGTGACTCCAACATGAATAGCGCCAAAAAATGCTGTGTGTGTGTATATATATATATATATATATTTATGTATACACGTACACACACACACACACACAGAGGTTTTGTCTTCCTAAATTAGGACTCTTCCACATACTCTTCCAGTATAGGTATTACATAATTTTAATTTGCTGAAACTGCTTCTAGGAAAGTCAGTCAGAGTTATACTCAAAATGAGAAAACTCACTTAAGCTTTAAAGGCTACAAAGAAAAGGCCATTTTTCACACCAACATCACTCAGAAACCCTGGACTGGATACAAGAGAATATATTATCCCTCAAATTGTAAAGGCTGAGTAAAATTTCTATGAAAGACACCTCCAGCAGCCCAGGCAACTGTTTAAAGCAAGAATATCTGCGCGAAATTACTAGCAACTCAAAACTACATAAAACTGGTCTTAAAGTGAAAAGACAAGAAACAAACCTCAATTTTGTCTGTTTTGGCATCCCCCCAGTATATTTTGCCTTCATCATAATCCAAAGCCAAACCATTTGGCCAACCAAGAGAAGTATTAACCAATACTACTCTGTCAGAGCCATCTAGAGCTGCTCGCTCAATTTTCGGGATCTCTCCCCAGTCAGTCCAATACATGTACCTACAAAAGAACACATAAAATTAGCTAAAATAAGTAATAGTAAAAGTGAGATCCACACTACATATTATATTGCTATCAACAGTCAACATCACAGATGGGGGAAAAAATAGGATTTAAATATCTGAAGAGCCTGTTTAAGATATTTATAATAAGCAAAACATAAATTTTTAGATCCTGAAAATGCCTCCAAATAGTGATATTTCATTTTAATAATTTTTTGTTTGTTTGTTTTTTGAGACAGGGTCTCACTATGTAGTTGAGACTGACCTGGAACTCACTATGTAGCCCAGGCTGTTCTCAAACTCACAGTGATCCTCCTGCCTCAGCCTCCCGAGTACTGGGATTACAGGAGTGTGCCACTATGCCTGGCAATAATTTCTTTTAAAAAAGATTTTCTGATGAACTTTTGCTCTTTTTCTCAATGGCTTTTAACCTCTAACACAAATGGTTATCTGGATAGGAATATTCATATGGCAAACTGAAGGCCTCAAATAATTTTTCCTACCGTGATTCCTTTGGCTTTTGAGGGTTAAGTGGGTCTAAGGTAAACCACACTGAGGTACAACAATGTGTCACTGTCATCAGAATAATTTTTACAGTAACAATAACATTGAGACCTATGTAGAAATTTGTGCTTCCTTGAACTACAGTCAAGGTCCTAGGGCTACATAATGAAAACAAGAAATAAAACTACATGGCCTGACAAGGTTTTAGGAGCCAAGTTACTATGTATTTTGGAAAATATGAAGATATATTCATATTATAGGTACTGAAAAATATGACAAAATCTTGTTGAGGACGGGGAAAGTGCTGAAAATTTTCTGTCCTTGTTTTTCATGGTCATTATGCAATCTGAGCAAAATCTGCAGACAATCCTCAAAGTCAACATGCATTAAGTTCATTTAGAGAGAAAAATATTCGAGATGTTTTAGGCAAAAAAAAAAGTCAATTCTTTGAGATTCTACTCTAATTACTATAATCTAACAATGAACAGCCATTACAGAGCTGTTTATTGAAAATCTGACATAAGCTGCATGTACTTCATCCTGAGTTGGTATTTTTAGATACCTATGGACAACAGAAATGCCGGACAGATTTACTACTAGCAGAGAGCCTTACCCAACCATGGGATCTAACACAATAGCCCGGGGTTCCTCTAAGTCTTCTGAAATCAAGATCTTTCTCATGGTCCCATTGAGCCTTGTCACTTCTATCCGATCAGTGCCAGTGTCTGTCCAGTAAAGATTTCGTGCAACCCAGTCAACAGCAATACCATCAGGATGGGCAATCTGAGCAGTGACCACAAACTGACTGCCAGATCCATCTATGAAGGAGCGGCGTATGGCCCTCACTTCATCATCAGTCCAGTAGATATAGCCTTCCACAGGATCATAATCTATGGCAATGGCATGACGAATGTCTTCTAACTGTAGAACGATGTCTGTAAAATCTGGTGTATCCAAAGAAATGCGTCTCAAATCTGTTCTTCGGGCTAAAAGCAGTAATTCAGTGGCACCTAAAACAATGTAAGTAAAGAAGAAATCATTTGAAAACTACAGGCAAAACAAAGAATGCAAATGCAGAACTTCTTCAGGAACACATACATACAGACACAGACACATACACACACACATATGCACACACCCCAACTCTCTTTAGAGTGGCCATGGGAAGGAATACATGACATAGGGAAAGTCCACTATGAAGTCAAACACTATGATGACTAAACTCTCGAAAGCAAGTTTTGTCCATTCTCTGGCTTCTTTTATTAGACAGTCCCTGGAATTAATAGAACTATTTAAAGGTAATCATCGATAATGACTAAGTGATTAAGTATTAAAGGAGGAAAGTATTATATAACACAGATCCTTTTCTTCAAGAAGTATGTTTGTGCCGGGTATGGTGGCTCACGCCTGTAATCTCAGCACTCAGGAGGCAGAAGCAGGAGGATTGCCGAGAGTTTGGGGCCAGCCTGAGCTAAATAATGAGTTCAGGGCCAGCCTGAACTATAAAGTGAGATCCTGTCTTAAAAACAAAGACAGAAACATATTTAAAAACGTACAGAAGTCTGTAACAAAAAGCTTTATGGTTGATGGAAATATTACAAAATTGGATTGTGGTAATGGTTGCACAACTCTGTAAATGTACTAAAAAATCACTATCAACTGAAATAGAAGAATTTTACAGTATATAAATTCTCAGTAAAGTTGTCTCAGCAAAAAATATAGGGCAATAATTGACACAACTGAGGACAACTGAAGCTATAAAGAAGGAAATAATCATAGTAACACTGGAAAGAGAAAAAGAAAAATAGAACGTAGAAGTAAGAGTTGTAGATCTAATAGAACTTGATTTAAACAGCTATACAAACTTAGATAAAATATCAAGTCTCTAAGCCTAGTTTCTTCATATAAAAGTCCTAAGGTTCCTATGCGAATTAAAGGAGATAAATGTGAAACTTAAGGAGATATTAAGCAAATAAACACTCATTTTAAATTAACTGGTGTATTAGTTATAAAAGAGACTTTAATGTTTTTATTTCACTGAGTTTTAAGTCACATTTATGATATGTTTTTTAACCCAAATCAAGAGTCAATAAAAATATAATTGAGCATTACAGTTTTAGGCTCAATCCTTTTTCCTCATTTTTAACGTTCAGGTAAATCTTCCCCATAAAAATTACCTGAGATCCTAATAAAAATGGTAAGCAACCTGACAATTGAAAGAGCAAGAAAAATTAATAGCCAAAAAAAATTTTTTAGGGTATAAACTTCAAGCAGAAGCAAAAACTAAGAAAAGCAATGATGCTTCTCAACATCAGCTGTTTGACTAGAGGGCTAATTATAAATTTATGCTAACGTGGAGAAAATACAGCCCAAAATGCCATAGCAAGCACCACGTAGAAGTAACTATACAATTTACTGCCCCTACTAACTGAAAAAAGGAACCAGTTGAAATTTTACAAACAGCAAGTCATGGAGCTGTTAATGTGAGCAGTGAGCAAAACAAAATTGTTAACTGAAGGCTTCTACCTGCAAATAACAACTGAAACTGAAACTAGTTGAACATGTACATTTACACCGCTGTGACAAACAGACCATTACTGCTAAAATAAAGCCTTGGTTTTAAAATCAGGCTACATTTTAAACAAACAAACAAAAGCAACATTACAAAAACCCTTTGTTTTAAAATGAAACCAAATTATTGTTTGCCATGGAAACCATCTCACAAGATTCGGCCAGCTTCACCTTTGAAGGTGAGGATAATCTATCCACGCCAAGTCATAACAAATACCCAGTGCATGGACTTGATTCCATCTCTGACTCCCTGACCTCCTTGCCAGGAATACTCTAAAGCTCTGAAATAAAGCCGTCTGCTTTTCAGAGTTAAATAAAGAAGCCACTGCTAAATATATCGATTTTCTTACCAGGTCTTGCTGAAGGGGTAAGAATGAACAGCAACACCCTCATTAAGAAGAAAAAGAGAAGAACCGGTGTTCTAAATGAGAAGTCCCTTGAAATGTCCTAAATCAGCACACCTCTCCAACATGCCATCCCTCACAGGGAATTAGGAGTAAGGAGGAGAGGGCAAGTGTGGTGTTTAATATAAAAAGAAGTTGCTTTTAGCAGTGCCATGGGACTTTTCTTTCTTCTTCTGAGAGCACTCGTGTCATTAGAAAGCAATTAAAAATATCATTGTTACTTGCGAGAAAATTTATCTACCCCATTATAATCTTAGTAGCTTAAACTTTAATAAACACTTGGGCCAGAGATTTAGTTCAGTGGTGTTGCCACCTGCCTTGCAAGCACAAGGTCCTGAGTTGGATCCCTGGTAACTGCACCCCTCCCCCAATTTCATAAGCACCTTTCCCTCCAGAGAGGTTGTGTATTTACAAGTACCACCTGCTGTTAAAAATGCATTTCTATGAGACACACTCACTTTCACATGAATCAATTCTGGTACCAATTATGAAAAGCTGATAGAGAACAAAAACAGTACATAATTTTTTTCAAAAAGAGCATGTGACTTAAAATATTAAATTTATAAAATAGCTTTCAAAAGACGTCTTAAGACATAGAACATTCTTGCTATGTAACCATATGAGTTTCCCAAGGCATTCTAACCTATAGTTTTTTTATAGAAAAACAAAATAAATCATAAAATCTCAAATGCTGTCCAAGTTTATTCTTCTTAGATAACATCCTCTTACCATTTTTGCAGGTTTTTCCATTCTCCAGAAGTTTGACCCCCGTTGGGCAGGCACACTGATAAAATGGCTTGACTGGAGACATCAAACACAAATGAGAACAACCACCATTATCAATTCCACATGGATTTGTAGCTGTCAAATATAAATCACACTGATTAATGCCAATGATTATGGATGACCTCCCTCATTCTAGGTACACAAAGGTTAACAACCATAACATGAGCAACTGTGATAAACCAAAATTATTACCAAATGTTATCCAGGTGCTTGACTACCAAACCATCTGTAAGGAAATGAATTAATCAGTAAGAATTAACTTGGTCATATTGTATCCAAACAGGAACAAACAAAAAGCAGAGCAGGAAACCCTTGCCCTAATAAAGCTCACAATCTAATGAGTAAGCCAAAATTAACAAACAATTAAACTAGAAAACAAAACAATGAACCTAAATAATATCTTGCTGCACATTAAATTGTAGACTATAAGTATAGAGTCAAAAAGAAATTAACTTGTTTTAAAAACCGAAGAAAGATTTCATGGAGTTTGTAGAACATGACAGGAGCCTTCAAGGATAGGAAGAAAAGAATCACTCCAAATGTGGTAAGGCCATATGAATAAAATCTTTGAGGCCATACACTGAGTACCATAAAATGAATAGTATAGATGTGGGGTCAAGGTTTCCATTGCCTAACAGGAACTAAAGCTAAATGAGCATAAAGGATGGGAATACTGCGGTGGACAAGAAAAGTAATTAGAATGTTGAAAAACTGTGCCTTAGAAAGATTAATATGAAAGAGATAAGCAGGATGGATTAAATAAAACTGAAAAGCAGAGAAACTAATTAGCATATCTATAGAAACTGTGGGATGGATGTATTCAAGTAATACTCATAGAAAGAAGCAAACTAAAATGGAGATCAAGAGAAGATGATATAAAAAGACAGCAATGTCAAAGATAACTGCAAATTCTCAAGTCGAACACACATCAACAGTGAATTGAAAAAGAGAAAATGTTCTCCTGAGGGCTACAAGAACAAATTCATGAGTAATCAAACATTTTCCTTTTTTACAAGAGAGTAAATAACCCATTTTATTTTTATGGGCTCACAATCACAAGATTCTAATATTACACATTCAATATTTGATTATCTCCCCCCAAATGGAAAAAGCTAATACAAAGCAACACATGATCCAAAATATTTTCTGGCTAGAGAACACAATCTGAAATATACTCAGACACATGCCAGACATTTATTTACACACAAGTGCCAAACACTTAACATTCTCATATTCCTTCCAAACTTAATTCCATTCCTCCCTTACAAGAGGTCACTGTGAGCTGACATAGCCCAAGTCATTGTAAAGGGTGACTAAAAATAGAAGCAAAACTTAAAGAAAAAGGAGAGAGGAAAGTATGCAAGGAAATGTTTAAGCAGGCACTTCATTCAGAAAGCTGAGGTACTTAAATTCAGCATCTAGAGTAATTGATTTCCATTCGAGAAAACTGTTTAAGACACAAACGCCAATAAACAACAGAAATCGAAGTCTGTAAGCTTAAAAAATGAGTTGCCTCAATTTTTAGTTTGATTCTCTTTTCTCTACTTCTATTGTCCCATCTCAAAAAAAAGGAAAGGTAGTATATAGTAAATGTAAGGCTACAAATGGTTTATTTTAGGCTATAGCTTAACCTGAATTATATTTCCATGTTTTCTCTCTTTTTTTATTCCCTCCTATTACTTTTGGATATGTTCTCGCTCCCCCAGACCCTCACTAAAGCCAGATATCAGACTGGCGCAAAGCTGTTCCAACTTGCAATTTAAAAATCAAGATCACTTACCATTTGGTTGCCTCAGCTGGCTGAAGGCATGTATATCCATGGGAGAGAAGATGTTCGAATGAATTTCACGCAGACCCTCGCCAGTGTACTTGTTGCAAGCCAAAATGGAGTGTGTATTCCAGTCAGTCCAGTACAGTGTGTCCTCAAATAAAGTCAAGGCAAAAGGATGTGGAAGGGAACCTTTAACCACTGCCTGCCTAGTAACACAAAGAGAAAAACATTTTAAAATTTTCTTCTTTTATCATATACCACCAATACTCCCATTAAAATAATCTTAGTTCACATTAACATAAAAATCCTGAGAGCTGGGGATTTAGTTCAGCCACCTGCCTTGCAAGCACAAGGTCCTGACTTCAATTCCCGGTACCAAAAAGACAAAAAAAAAAATCCTGCAGAACACCTTTTGGGTCAATGTATCTTATGAAAATCTTATGAAAAATAGTTCACATGACAAATTTAAGTATGCTTTCAAAATGTCCAGAAAACCCCACAATCACTTCCGAGTGGCTCCTCACATGGAAACAGGCTCCAAGTGTACTCCAGCCACCTGACAGGAAAAGCTGGAACACTAGTAGTTCGCAATGCTGCCCATTCCCACCTCTCTGCTATCATTTCTGAACTCACATCTTCCATCCTTTCACATAACTCATATCTCCACCAGAAGAAAGGTGAGCAATAAGGGGATGCCACAGATTAAAACTGGCACTTGAAGGAGATTTACATCAGCAAAAGGTTTATTTCTTCTTAATGCGAAGGAACAAAGAACTTGAACCTGTTTCTTTAATCATTTCTTATAGTTTTAATAACTATGGCTGAAAACATACACATGGGGCTGAAAAATCATTCAGGTAAAGCTCCCCCTGCAAACTTCCAGCCAAAAAAAAAAAAAAAATCACCCAACCTAACTTTTTTTCTATTTCTATTTAACCTCCCTCATTCAAGCAGCAAAAAGAAGCTGTGTGGCTGTTAGGATCTGTTAATGAGACAAAGCAGACCCAGAAATTTCACAAACAATACATACTATATAAAAGGAAAAGTAGGGAGACTTAGTGCTCAAGGTATAACTTTGCAGGTCTCAGAATTACGTAACTAGTAAACATTCTAGAATAATAAATGTTTTGAGTAAAAAATAATAGTCAAGAAAATAAATATTTTCGGGGCTGGGGATTTAGCTCACTGGTTCCACCACATGTCTCACAAGTGCAAGGTCCCGAGCCTCGATCCCCAGTACAAAAAAAAATTTTTTGATGTTTTCATAAATTCAAGTTTTCCAATAGTCTAGCAGAAAGAAAATATAAGCTACTAAAGAGAAATAAAAGGTATCACACATCTTTAGGTCTGGGAGGCTACTTGGTGATCTCTAATATCTAAGAGACTACTACCTCATTAAATTGATTAACAGTAACATAATGCCAGGTATATAAAAAGTGAATACATTAGCATGTTTAGTTTACCAAACAAACTAATTTTGGAGCACCGTTTCCACTCTGCCAGTCTCTAGCACAATTTTCTCCTTTCCTCAGCAGATTACTTCTCCCTCTAGTTCAAAATAACAAACAAGCAAACAAACAAAACTGTCACAGTATCTATTTCTGAAGTGCTTCCTTCCATTTTTTTTAACACATTCTTGCCAGCTTGAACTGATCTGGTACTTGTCTGACTGTTCCACTGGGTAGCTTGTACCATGGAGGGAACAAACAGGTCTAATCACTTTTACTGCTCTTTTTACTAATAAAATTAACATAAAGCCACCTAATGGGACAGTCATGCATGCGTGCCACCAATAGCCATGCCACCCAGCAGCAAGACAGACAAATTACGGCACCGCTGTTTATGCTAAATGGGCAATTTTTATTAATTAAAGTTCCTTACTTATAGGAATGGTATCATAGTTTATGTTCAATTTTAAACAAGCCAGTGTATTTTACACTAAAGTCTTTCAGAATTCATGGTAAAACACAGAATTAGTTCTGAGACGATGCCATGACACGCAAAAATACAAATGAAAAACAAAGAATAGTAGAAACTAAGTTACTTGTACTTCATCAACTATCCTAAAAAATAGCAAATTATAATCAGATCTTTGAAAAACTTTGGAGATGGAAAAAAAGCTTTTAAAAGTCCTTTGTGTCTCCTTAAATAAAATGATAAATTCTCTCTAATGAACTTAACAGGAAAATAAAGAGATGGGTAAAGCAAAATCCTTCTCTAAAAGCTATTTTTTAATATATACGGACTGAAAACACACAACTGGAAACCAGACTGAACCGAGTTTAAATCCCCTAATGCTCACTTACTACTTACATCATTTCTGCAAGATTTGTTTTCATCTGCAAATGAAAGATAACAATGTATCTCGCTGAGTCACTATGAAGATGAAATGATAACATATGCAAAGCAATTCCACACTGTGCTTGGTACTTAATAATACAGTGCTTCAAAAATGATACCTCAACTTTAGGGTATATGTTTTTCAAAATTTCCAAACTAATTTAGTATTTCTCATATAAGGCATATATTTTAAAATGTAAATACTTTGTATTTAAGTTTTTGAATAAATAAGCTTTAGATCACTAATTTATTAAACCCAGTAAATACTATGCTAACATTCAATTTAAATGCCACTTCCTTTTCATGGTCTTTCTTAATTTGTTCCCCTCCGTGTGAAGTTATTTTTCTTTTTCTAAATTGTCACAATAGCTACTGGTCTATTCTGTAAGTATTTACTTATTCAACAATTCTAACAGATCACCTTTTCGAGAGTAGGGACTATGGCTTCTTTTTCGTCTCATGATCTCATATACTGTGCAAAAATTAGGTATATTTATTAAATAGTAAGTGCTTGATAAAATTAAATTTTTTAATGAAACATCAAAATTTCACTACAAGAAAATAACAATAGTTAATATACAGTGTATCATTATCTTCAAAGTAGTTACTCAGAATATAGGACAATGACAAAAAGATTCTCTTAAAAGAACAGATATTAGCACCAAACTTTCAGTTCAATGTAAGAGAAGCCAGTAATATAATGAGAAAACAATAGTATAAATAAAACAAAAAATTAAATGTTTTAGATTTAAAACATGTAATTAACAGAGCTGAACAAAAAACAGAGCTAAGAGGACCACCATTCATGAATCACCTACTGCTTTGTCCAGCCAATTAGGACTTGTTCCTAAAAGTGCAGATAACCATGTGGTGCTCACCTTCCTTATCTCTGGATGCAATTACCAGATTGGTTACCTTCTGGTGCCACCCACTCTCCAAAAAAAGTTACTTCCAGGAGGAGGTGATTACAGCTGTTGAGAACAGAAAGCCCAGTTCTTTAGCAGTGTGCCTAAGAGCTAAGGAGCCTCAGGAAAGAAGCCAAGGAAGCCCCACCAACACCGATGTTTCCAATTGCTGCTAGCAGTCTCTAAATATCATCTGAGGTCTTGTCTGTCTATCTGTCATGCAGCATACTGCTAAAGCTCAATCCCACAGATACACCCCAGTTACATAAGCTCTCTTGCTACCTCTTTCAGATTCCATAGCCTTTGCAGGTAGTTCTTTCAAATTCCAAACCCACTGGACTTACCATTTACAAAGCACCTCCACACACTGATCCACCTCTATTTCTGCACACACACCCCAAGCAAAGCTGCCCCATCTCAGAACTGCCCACCTGTGTGCCAACAATCTTTCTTTAACTGTACCACAGGACTACCGTCATGCAATTTTAACACCTGAACCTAACCTTGGGAAGCTCTGTACTTGAAGATATAGCCAAGTGCAATCAAGCAAGACAAGAAGGCACCCAGACTAGAAAAAGAAGTAAGCTATCATATAGGAGTCTGTGTATAGAGTATACTGAAGAACTTACGAAGCCTCCCAATCTAATAAATTCAACAGCTTGTAGAATACAAGATCCATTTGTAAAAATAAGTTGCTCTATATCTATGAATAAAGAATTAAATTGAAATTATTTTAATATAGAAAGTTATACTTATATCAAAAAGGTAATTTTCATATATAAATTGAAGGTAGTTAAGGCATTCATTCAAAACAATATTGTATAAAACTGTAAGAATCATCAGACACATAAATTAAATAAAGATGAATTGTAGCTCTAAATGTAAGCAGAGGGGATAAGCAGGAGGGGTGAGGAAAAGGAAGAAAGGAGTTGAAATTGATTAAGATATATTAAATATGCGGGTCAACTTCCCAAAACAGACCAACCACATCATATTAACATTCACTAATACTGACAGAAAATATTGGTGGGTCACATATACAGTGAAGATCCTGTATCTGAAATACACACACACACACACACACACACACACACACACACACACACACACACGAGCTCTTACAGCCAACAAGACAAATAAACCAATATTAAAATGAACAAAGACTTAGCTAGTGCCACAAACATCTGACTGGGCCTTCTGTATAAGGCTGAGCTGTATTATATCCAAGATTACAGATATACGAGACACAAGGCAGTTAAGTATCTGCAGCAGAGCAACAGTTAACACATAAAGGGACCTAAAACTATCTAATCTGATAGTTACATTTTTTCCAAACTAATTATATTTCTCCTGATGAAAGAAATACATATAGTATATTTATTATAAAATTTCACACCAAATACATCTTTCTCATCCTTTATTGTATACATACATACATGTATAAATATAAATCTAAGCAAATATAAGCAATGCACAATTATCAAGGAATAGAAAAACTGATTTCTGTTGTTTTGTTTTGATGCAGTAGTAGGGATTGAGCCCAGGACCTTTGCACTGAGCGACATCCCCAGCCCATTTTTAATGTTTTCATTTTGATAAGTAGATCCTCCACCCTCAGCTTCCCAGATGTTGGGATTACAGGCATGTGTCACCATGCCTGGCTGATTCCTGTTTTCAAAATAGTTAAGGGACAACAAGTAACCAAATAAACAATGAGATTTAGAATTAATAATTCAATAAAATTAGCTAGCATTAAAGCTGAGCCCTCAGCAAAAGAGAAGGAAATACTGATTCAGAACAAGAAATAGAGGTCTACACTAAAGCAACTACAAAGAACCATGTCACACCCTAATTACTGAGCTTCAAGAGGAATAATATACAGCAAGCCCTAAAGTCTTGACTACATCTTAGTGTTTCATTTGTCAGAGACAAATGGTTAATTTATTTTGAAAAGCCCCCTCGCTTTTATCTGGAAATGTTTCAATTTATTCCCCCCTTTTTTAGTTTTAATTTTTATGTATGGGTCAGCAATGAGGATTCAGCCCAAGGCTTTCACAGCACAGCCCCTACCCCTTTTTAAATTTTGAGACAAGATGTTGCTAAGTTGCCCAGGCTGGACTCGAACTCCCGATCCTCCTGTCTCAGCCTCTCAAAAGTGCTGAGATTACAGGCAGGTAGCACCATGCACAGTTCTCTCTCATTTTTTAAGCGCTGCTGGATAAAGGAGCACTGTGAGTATATAGTTCCATTCTTTAGCACTTCGAATATATTAGTTCACTGCTATCTTTGTCACTGAGACACAACACCCAACACCCAAAACTTAGACGAGAGGTTATTTTCCCTCACATACTAGTCTCCAGTTGGCCAGCTCCAAAGAAGAAACAACATGGGAAAGGGCATGGCAGAAGAGAAACAGCTCACCTCAAAGCAGTCAGGAAGCAGAAAGCAAAGGGAGGAACCAGGGGAGATGAAGATCTTTATATTCATGTCTTTTTTGTCAAACTTGGGGAGCTTTTGGCCACTATATTTTCAAATATCCTCTCTGCCCCCTTCCTTGTCATACAATGAGCAACCAGGTCCACTAATGGTGTCCCACCGGGCCTGCACTTGTTTCTTCTTGCTCTTCAGTCTGATAATTTATCTTGTCCTATCTTCAGGTTCACCAATCCATTTTCCACTTGCTCAAATCAGCATTTAAATTCATTTTCATCTCAGATTTCTTTCTGGTTTCTTTTTAGATTATGCTGTCTTTTTGTTGATACAATATTTCCATTTTGTTCACACATTACTTTGACTTTCTCCACATCTTCTTTTAATTCTTTGAAAATCTTTAAGATAGCTGTTTGAACATGTTTACTAGATCTGTCGTCAGGTCTTTTTCAAGAACAGCTTATGTAAATTTACTTTTTTCTTCCTTTTCAACTTTATTTAAAGGCCTTTCCCTTCATTTATCCTCTCTTGTGTCCCCCGTTTAGTGATTTTTCCCCTGAAATGATTTTTCTTTTATTTGTAATTCTTTCCTTTGTTTTCTCATCTCATTTCTAACTTTTTCTAATTTCACCTTATTCTTTCATGTGTGATACTGGTTTCTCACTAACTTTGGCACAATTTTAAACAGCAATTGGAGCCCTTCCATGGTCATGTTTTTGGGGGTTCTCTGTAAGGATTCTGTTTCTCATTCCTTTTTTTCTTTTTCCAATAAACAACCACCCCTATATACAGCCTCTGCACGCATTTACTGGGAATTGAGCACAGGGCCTCCACACAAAGCTACGTCCATTTTTATTTTGAGATAGGGTCTTACTAAGTTGCTCAAGCTAGGCTCAGATTTACAATTCTGCCTCAGCCTCCCAGACTGCTAGGATTACAGGATGCATCCAGCTCTTTGTGATAACTTTATTGTTTTGTTTTGTTTTTTGGTACCAGGGATCGAACTAGGGTCCTTGCACTTGCGAAGGCAGGCGGTGGAACCACTGAGCTAAATCCCTGCCTCCATGGTAACTTTAAAAGGGATTTTATCTTGGTATTTTTCTGATCCTTATAGCTACATAACATTAATTTTCCTGAACTTTCACAGAACATTAAAAAGTATGGTAGCTTTGTTTCTGAGATCTCCAAAGCTAATCGTCATCCTTCTGTGAACATTCTCCTTCCCCTCTTGTTCCTCCCTATGCTATTCAATTTTGTTTCTATTCAGTGTGGTACTATGTCCTGTATGAGAACTCTGGTGTCCCCATTTTGAAAGCCTATTGGACAGACTGTCAAATTTGAGTTGAAACACACCTATTTTATTTTTATACTCATCACACATGTACTTTGAAACACTTACTTTTAATTCTAAACCATCGCAATATAAGTAATTTCACTTTTTTTGAGAAAAGGCCCCAAAAAGGAAGTTCATGATAACAAAAGGCTTTTTTAAATTAAATTCTTTAAGTTTTTCAAAGTTCAGAATATTTCCAAATATGTAATCTAAAAATCCTTCCAATTCTTGAGATTCACCTCTGGTGGGTTCACAGAAAGCACCAATAATCCATATAATCAAATACAAGAAAGTAACTACAATATCTTCAAAAACCTAAAATTGCCTTGAGAAGAAATTCAGAGTGTCTGAATTACAGACTTTGTGCTATGATCTGTACCCACCTTCTTGGTGAAATTTAACTGGCAGTTTAACAGTATCAATATGGTGAGGCTGTTAAAAATGTATGAGACATTTCACAGAGTGATATTATTACCAGAGGAGTTCATTATAAAGCAATGAGCCCCTCTCTCTCTTCTGCTGCCTCTCTGACCTGTTGCTTTTCTTAAATATTACATTGTAACATAAATTCCTAACCAGATATGGCTGCCTAATCTTGAACTTCTCAGTCCTCAGAATGAGCCAAAATAAATATCTTTTCTCTATAAATTACCAGTCTCAGGTATTATTGTTAAAGCCACAGAAAACAAACTAAGATGCCCTGTCCTAATATAAGCATTCAACAAGAAATATTCCACAAGCAGTGCCTAACAGCTGTGCCGATAATTTTCAGTGGGACAACTCTGTTCTGTTGGATATCCAACACTGTGAGACCGCTAGCACTCGCTGTCTACCAGAAAACGCTACTCTAAAATGCTAGCAGCACTCCAGCCGTTGGATTAAGAAAATTTTCCATACATTTTCAAACACTCAGGGATGGAGAGAAAATACAACCCCGGGTTGAGAATCACTGAAGAACTAGGTTAACTTGAGTCAGGAAGGAGAAAATACATTCCCTAAGTTCTAGCTGCTACCGTGATAGATGAGAAATGTGATTACTTTCTAAAATACCAAAGTAAATGTCTATACATCTTTCCCTCTCACACTAAGTCAAAAGTACAACGATTACTTCAGAAAGTCTATACACTAATATACAAAGCCAACATGAAATTTTCTTAAATTTAAATAATGAAGCCAACAAGAAGTTTTCTTAAAATTTAAAAAAAGAAAAACATATATGACAATCTTACCGATTTGTTCCATCCAGGTTTGATTTGTGGATGAAATTAAGTTTGGCATCTGCCCAATAAAGCTTTTGTTCCTCATAATCCAAAGTCAGTCCATTTGGCCAGTAAATTTCAGTATTTATTATAACAAAACGACTTGAACCATCCATTCCAGCACGTTCTATCTTTGGCACTTCTCCCCAGTCCGTCCAGTACATGAACCTAAAATCATAAAAAAGCCATGACACAGCAAAACATTTTATAATTATCACTAGCAGATAAAAGTTCTTTCAGAACAACAGAATGTGAAACTCCTACAATCTTTAAAAAATGTACAATAATCTACTATTTTCAACTACCAGGAAGATAGTGCTTGATTTGGCTAAGTGTCATCAAGGATGCAAAAATTATTACATGAAAGCTTAGTGGGGGGAAAATAGTTACGCTGTGTCACAGTATCACCCTACAAGTACTTATTAACAAAGGAAAAAATGGTAACTAGAGAAAATAAACTTAGTATACTACCATAAACAAGTTATCTACATTAACATAATCAACAAGAAACTGACATCATAAATCTCTTAATGTGATATACTAAAAAGGACACAGCATCTTCTCTGTATCTTTTATATCACAGCATCTTTTGTACCTCTTATATACTATTCCTGCCCAAATATGTACAACCTGAATAAAAGTATGAAGAAACAGATTCAAATTGAGGAGCATTTTACAGAGCAGTTTATTTTGACAATATTCATGTCATAAAAATCAAAGAAAGGCTGAGGAACCAAACTAAGAAAATAAAGAAACATGATAACTACAAGAAGTACATGATCTTTCATTGATAAAGTGAAGGAAAACTCTATAAAGACAATGGCAAATGAGGCAAAACTGATGTGCATTAAATCATAGTTGTATAGTATTAATATTAATTTCCTAAATGTGCTAAATGGACTGTGATTATGACATACTGGCAGTTCACTATAGTATTTTTGCTTTTATCTATAAGTTTACAAATTTTTAAATAAAAAAATGAAAACTTACCGATAACAGATTTTTTTTTTTTTAGACATGGTCTTGCTGTGTAGTTCAGGCTGGCTTTGAACTCACACTGTGCAGCCCAAGCTAGCCTCAAATTCATGGCAATCCTCCTGCCTCAGCCTCCCATGGAGGATGGGATTACAGGTATGTGCCACCACATATGGCATTCCAGTAACAAATTTTGCACAGAATATGTAATAAACTTACAAATCAGTATGAAGACAAATACTTTTTAAATGGTCAAAAGATTTAAACAAACATTTTGTCTGACATAAAAATGGCCAGGTAGGACTTGAAAAACTGATCAATATCATTAGTTATTAGGCAATTCCAAACTAAAACCAAAATATCACTTCACACTAACAAGAATGAATGTAGTGCTGTTTTTTTTTTTTTTTTTTTTAAAGACAATTATAGTACAGGCAAGAATATGAAGAATTGGGAAGTAAAATGGCACAGCTATTCTGAAACATACAGTTCAGCTTTAATGTTTAACAGATTCATAAAAAATAAAACAGCAATTTCACTCTATTCAAGAAACATAAACTCATACTCAGACACAGACTGGTTCGAAAGTTCCTATCAGCATAACAACCTAAATGGCCATTAACTGATAAAGAGATAAACAAAATTCAGTACTAGAGTACTATCAACAATGAAAAGAAACAATGCACTGATATAGGGGTAAAAGCATATGGATCTCAAAAAATTAAAGTAAAAGAAGCCAGACACAATCTTATGTTGAATTATTTCATTTATATGAACAGTTCTGAAAAAGCAAATATGTAGAGATACAAACAAATTAGCAGTTGCCCATGTCATAGAGGCACAAGGTTTCTTGGGGATGTGTGTGGTTTGTGTCTAGATGTCCCCCCAAAGCCTCACGAGGGCATAGGTCAGGCTTTTTGGAAGTGGCTGTATCTGGAGTATGTGATCCTGGGATCCAGGGTGTGTGATTATTAACTTAGTCCACTAATTGGTTTGGCACAGTTCTGGTTAAGAAGCCTAGAAACAATATAAAAGGGAAGGAAAGAACCTGTCTCTTGTCACTTGCTGCTTTCTGCCTACCCTGCTTTGCCATGGACTGTTTCTCCTCATAATCCAAAGTCAGTCCATTTGGCCAGTAAATTTCAGTATTTATTATAACAAAACGACTTGAACCATCCATGTGATGCTCCTCTGCCATATCACCCTGCCTTGGAGCCAGCCAATTATGAACTGAAGCCTCTACAAACTGTGAGCTCAATAAATCTTTCCTCCTTTAACTTTAGGTGTTGGATGTTTTGTCTCAGCAACAAGAAAAGTAACTTAAAACAGAGGGTACTGGAAATGTTCTAAAATTGATTATGGTGATGGCTGAACAACTCTGAAAATTTAATAAAAATCACCAAATTGTTAAAGTGGTATGGGAATGCATTTATAGTACTTTTTCTCCTGAAGAATAAACCCAAGCAGGCCACAGGCAGACAATGCAATCATTCACATAGAATAATACAGATCCATTCCTACAGAGTTGGAGTCAGGTTAAACTTTATGGAATACATTCTATGAACAAAGAGCTCTAAATATTTGGAATTATTTTGCTAAATTCTCTGAAAATTCTAACCTTTTCTGAAGTGAATAAATGTGGGTACAAAAAATGTTACAAAAAACAATAAATGCTGTGAAGGATGAGGGATCCTCTTGTACATACAGGCAGGAATGTGAATTAGTATAGCAATTATGGAAAGCAGTATCATAACAAGGACATCCTCAAAAAAACTAAAAATAGAGCCATCTTTTAAACTAGTTATAACCTCTCTTTGGCATATTCTCAAAAGAATTAAAAGTCAGCACATTATAAATGTATCTGCACACTCTTGGTTACTGCAGAGCAATTCACAATAAGCTATCAAAACAGCCTAGGTAACCATTAAGAGATAAATGAATAAAGAAATATATTCATACATAATGCAATATTATTCAGCTCATAAAGGTGAAATTGTGCCGTTTGCAGGAAAATGGACTGAACTAAAGACCATTATGTTAAATGAAATAAGACAGACTCAGAAAGGCAAGTATCACACAGTTTCTCTCATGCACAGTTTCTCTCAGCACATATTCTAGAGTTAGGCTGCTTAGCTCTGCCATTTCCCAGGTGGGTGAGGCCTTGAGCAAGGTATTTAACCTCTCTGTCCCTCAGGCTCATCTATATCCTTCGTCTATATCATGAGGATTAAAAGTGGCCTGAGGAGCCAGGGATTAGTGGTTCCACCACCTGCCTCGCAAATGCAAGGTCCCGAGTTCAACCCCGTACCAAAGGAAAAAAAATTGGCCTGACTCACAGGGTTGAGAGAATTAAAGCAGTTATGTGAAGCACTTAGAAGTCCTATATATGTTTTAGCTATTATTATTGCTGGTGTTATAAATCCCTGGTCTGTTGCTTCTAACTTTCAGAATAAAGGGCAAAATCATTAAAATAATTTTCCCCCAGTGCTGGGGACAGAACCCAGGCAAGCACTTTGCCACTGCACCCTCAGTAACATAATATTTAACTCTGCACTGTTTGGCTCCTTCCCATCTCTTCAGCTTCCATTTATGCCTTGCTTCACCTCATTACTGACATTCCAATCAGTGCTTCACAAATTCTACACTCCCTGCTACCACAAAGCTGTCTTTCTAATCTATTTTCGTCTTTCAGAGTTCACTTTAAATGGTACAGTACTTCCTTTAAAAGCTTTCTTTAAAATCCCAAATTAGGTCATATGTACCCTATAAACTTTCAGTTTTTATTCACAGATTTTCTATTTAACATTTACCATCTATTACCCCTAACTTATACATTTATAATACATATTTATACATATTCTTGGATTAAGATTTTAAGAAAAAGTAAATGAAGAATAAACTTTTCATGTCCTGATACAAAAATATCCTTTTTTCTGAAGCTTAATAAATTCCCACAAACTGATCCTTAATGATGCTAATGATTGTATAGCAGAGATTTTATCTGACAGACCTAGCAGAAAAGAAAGAACACATTTCAGGAGTAGTTGGCAGAGAAATTGACTACAAATTCCCACTGAATTTGGTGGTAGGATTTCCTTATGTACTTAGCCATACTGATTTATATAATCTGAGAATTAACTGTTCAAAGGTCATGCTATCAGTAAACATTTTAGTTATACCCTAAGCTCAGCTGTGGTTCTCTTATTTCAGAGAGAGAGGCTACAAGTCTAATCAGAGAGCCTTGAAGTAGGAGCAACTTAGTTTTATAGCAAATCAGGAAGAGAAAACATTTCAGGAAGAAGGGCCATGCTGAGGCACAAATAGTGTGTAAAAGTAACTCTCATACATGGCTTCCATTAATGCAGCAAAAACTGAAATCTGGCTGGAGATGAAAGGGATCAAATCTCCAAGTCTTACAGACATACTCAGGAGCTACAAGCTAACTTTTTAAGGCATTGGGAAACAACTGATGAGTTGGATCAATTGCATGGGAGGCTGACATGGCCAATGTTTTGCATTTTATGTAAGTCACAGTGACAGGTAATGAGATTTAAAAGAAGAAGAAAAAAAAAAAACAGATACTAGTTAGAAATCTATTTCAATTGACCTGAAGAAAAATGATGAGGGGGTCCAGAGATTTAGCTCAGTGGCACTGCGCCTGCCTGGCAAGCACAAGGCCGTGAGTTTGAATCCCACTACTGAAAAAGAGAAAAGAGGAAAAATAACTAGGGGACAACAGAAACAATAGTAATAGAATAACAGAAATATTCTATACAAAGGGCTAGCAACTTTCTTCATGCCTTGCCTACCTTTTTCAGTTTTATCTCCTAATGTTTCCTATCTTAAATCCTATTGTGATAGCCTCCAGCTCAAATTCTCATGCCACCCCTTAGTGAATTTTGTGCTATTCTAAACACTGTCAATTAAATGCTCTTCCCAAAAGACACCATAAAATTTGTGCCCCTATGTTTCTGCACATATTATTTTATCCCATCCCAATTTAAAATGCTAATTGCAACACTTAAAGCAGGAAGTTGCAGCTGTAAGAGTAACTTGTACTGTGCTAGTTATGCCACAATAAATAATCATAAAATTAAAGAACATATATGGGGCAACTTCTCCAGGAACTAAAAATAAGCAGTAAAAGAGCACAAGCCCTGAGAGAAAGAATCTCATTGGCTGAGCTCTA